TCAATATCAACGTGGGTTGAGCATTTCTTGCATATATTATCATAGTGTGTCTAAATAATTATGTAAACAATTTATTATTTGTACTTTGTAATTTTTGACAAATTATCGGTATATAAAAGTTTTAGTTTTTTTGGCTTTTAAAAAAAATTGATTATACATTGTTACATGTTCTTAACTGCAAGATAAAAATGACCAAAATAATTATAAATTATACTAAAACTTACCCTACTTATTAATAATACAATTTCTCTGTATTGCTCAACAGATCTTTTTTTATACTTATATATATATAAATTTTCAATTTCATGGATATAAAAAATAAATATGCATATTCCTATAGCACATTTTTTTTCAGGAATTTTTATAATTTAACATAATACTAAGCCTATCACTTAAGAAAAAAAATGTTTGGAGATTGCAGACTATGAGTCCACCTGAGAAAACCGTAAACTCGGTCTTTCGGTCCAAAAAGGGCGCAACGTAACTGCAACACGGTTTATTGAAGCCATTAAATTTTTCTGTGCTTGTAGAGTTCCAAGGCGAGCTTTTTTTTTTTGGCGTAACGCCTCCAATTGATTCTTCTATGGACATAACTATTTTATTTTCGAGGTCACCAATGTGTAAATAAAATCAATGATTAACCAACTCGTTTAATGAGTAATGACGTTTATTAATAAACAATTGCACAAAAATAATAAAACACTGTAAGATACTCAAAAAGTATTTATAACACGTTGCAAGCTGGCAACCTTGTCTCAAAACTCTAGAATGTTTGACCGCCACATTAGGAGAAGATAAAACTCAATTTAGTCTCCCCTAAACAAAATTTGACCTTTTTACGTCCATGGGTCTATGACTTTTTGATATCGAAATATTTTATTATTACACCATCAGTGAATTTTTGTAAATATAATTGAACTAGTTCATTCCAAAGTCTATTATTCACTATTTTATCAAAAAGATACCATAGAAAGAAAAGAAGAAGTTCATAGTAGGAAGAGGTATGAAAATAAAAAACCAAGTTCGAAGTAAGTTAAATTTTTAAAGAAACATTTATTTCTAAGAATATATGTAATATTAGTTTACTTGAACAAGAAACATAAAAACTATGCAATTAATTGTCAAAACAGTACATTATATTCATATAAAAATTCATAAGAACTGACCAAGTCTTTATAGATAACTAAATAAAGAAATGATATAATAATAATTTTAATAGTATGAAATTTTAAATTAAACAGTAATGATATTTTAATTAGTATAAAATTAAAAGTTGATCATCATAATTTTATGAGTATAACTTAGACATTTAATTTAATTATAGAGTTTAAATAAATTAACATGTTGACGACATGTATTCAAGTTCTATAGTAAATACACGACAACCGTAGTTTTGTATATTATACAATAAAACAAGACAAACGATTACTAAAATGATGACTTATTACAATGTAAAATGCATTATCGAAGCATTAAAAAATATATACATATAATTTATTATGGTAAATTTTTAGAAATTATTAACTAAAATGTTTACATTTGATTGGATATAAAGGACCATAATAATTATTTTCCAGGCATGATTCAGGAGTATCATAATTCATAATCACATAAATCATAAATTCTAAAACAACATAAGAATATTGAATATTTTTAATAGCTAAAATTCTTGATAAAGAAAAGTTTATTTTATTTAAATACTAATAATTCAACTAAAAATACATCATATATGTTAAAAACATGTTGGACGCTGAAACCATACCAAGACTANTATGTTAAAAACATGTTGGACGCTGAACCATACCAAGAGTTGCATGAGGATATCACACGTCCCTACTTGACAATAGTTTTAGTCGGCAATTTTTTAATATCATAGAAAATATTAAAAGAAAAATTATTTAAAAAATGGTGTACAATTAAAAAAAAAAGAGATTTAACCGACATAAATAAATGTTTCACCCCCTCATATATTTATCTTCGGGACAGCTCTAATAGAACGCCGTTTTTTTTATCCTTGTATATTTGTTTTAATAATGACAATTTTACACGTTATTCAAATTATTTTTTATTTAAATAATACGCTATTAATATAAGTTGATTATTTACTTAATTATGAATAGATATATGATAAACATTCATTTTAACTATTACGTTTGTTAGTTTTTTTCAAATATAGATTATTTTACTTTAATTGCATAATACATATTTAGCAAAAGTCAATTTAGTTACTTTAATCGTATTATAAAATTAACGATTTATGACTTAAGACAGTTGTATGAATTAAAATGAACTTGTAAATTCAATTACTCAATTTTGTTAGTTGTCAAGTATTTGTTCATTCTGATTAAATAAATAATCATATAATATGATAACAATATCATAAAATATTTTTATCATAAATTATTTGATTTTTACGCAAAATTCTTTTTCTTGACAGTTAATCTTAGTATTTTTGATGATATACCATGTGTAAAGTGTCTATTTATCAAATTAGCTATTTTTCATTAAATTTAAAATATTTGGTAGAATCAAATATAAGCTGTAACAATGAAATCGTAAAAATTATGTAACAGTTTTTAAAAGTAGCTTTTACGTAAAAATACATTGAAGAAATCAATAAAAAAAAAAAAGATTTATTACCTTCATAGTTCACTACACTATCGTCTATAATATTTCCTTTAGCCAATAATTCTCCTACTTTGTCGTAGTCCCTAACATTCGAAATATTAGTAAGTTCCATAGCAAGTTTTAGTCCTTGTGTTGTAATCATTTTTGAGTTATCAGGTATAGCAAGCTTACTCATATTATCATACAATGTATCATCAATTTGTTGTGTTATTTTCTGAATCATAATTAAAAATTGACTTTCAGTAACTTTATCATCTGTAATAAATATAATTCAAGTATTAACTCTTAAATTCATTATTCTCATTTCGCCATAACTAGGGATTTTGTAAAAAAATTTTAGGGTGCAATAATTCCAAAATTTTCAATCTAAATCAACTTAAACGAGTAATATTTTTCACACAGTATATTAAAAATGTGTATATGAAAGTATAATATATATTATGAACCTAGGATATAATAGGTAAGCCGTTGATAACAATCTTACTAAAAAAATGTAATCTGTAAAAACATATTTAATTATAATTACAATTATGTCTTGGATAAGTACCTATAATATTAGCTTCTTCAATTATATTACCGAATTTATATGGATTATAGCAAAGCTTATACCTAATAACATCACGAAATTCACTTATTGTCATTACTTTCTCGTCACTCAATTGATCTTTGTATAATTCTTTAAAATTGTTTATGATATTATCCGGCAATGAAAAATAGTCCTGAATAAATTATGTAACAAATAAATATATTATTTACTATAAGTAATCTTTAAATCGTTGTGTTATTAAAAATTATTCGTATAATAATCAGGAACGTATTTAGGGGCAGCGCGTGGGTACCATTGCCTGGATGATAAATTTTTTTGTAATTAAGGGATGACAGTATTTTTTTAATAATAGTCTGATATAATATGAAATAAGGGGATTATGTAAGAGAGGCAATAAAACTTTACATGAGGCGTCAGAACTCTAAATACATTTCTGATAATAATAATGTTGAATGCTTTAATTTGACTAAAGTCCATGAAAACTTACCAAAGAATCTAAATAATGATTCGATGTTGTTCTGAGGCTAGGGCCCTAAGGATAATTATTAATATATATATAATACAACAAATATATATGTATTTTAAGTAGTAAATATTAAGCAGTATGAATAATTATTTATTTCAAAATCACTATATTGTTTTTGTGAAAGGCCTAAATCGTCAATAGATATATTAAGCCTTTAAGAGACAAAAATTAATAATATCTAGTCAATTTTAAGATTGTATCAATTTCTTTGTTACCATCTTATTGAATCATTATTGAATCTTATTGAATGTATACTTTTAAGACGCAAAGTTACATAGTTTTCTCTAGATTTACTCTAAATCACGTATCTACATATGTATAAAAATGTGATATAACTCTGAAAATTAATTGAGATATTACATGAATTCCAAATCATCTTTAAACACACTAGGAATGAAACTTTATATTTTTAACGATTTTTACAGAAAAAAAATTGTTATAAATGGTCATATATGAATCGTTGGTAAAGATAAAACACATTTTTATGCAAAGTTAAATTTAATATCTTCTCTTTAAAAAATAATTATAAATATTAATACATAGATATTTTTTAAATTTTTAGTGAGGTTAATTGTTATGGTGGCATCAGTTGTGCTGATATAATAATATAAACTAAGGAAAATTTTATGCGATGATAAAAGAGAAAATTTAACTTGAACATCGAATTGGAATATGAGTAAATAAAATAGGTCTACACCTTAGAAATAGTTGAATAAAAACCACTAGTGAATTATCTTTGACTGGTGTATAAAATAATTGAATTTTTTCTTTTTATTCCACAAAGTTGCGTTTTAATGGTATATTAAAAATAACCGAGCACAGTGGGATCGCGTTATATTTAATGTAAATATTGATCTACAGATGAAAATCTGTAGATAGTGTTTAATTTTGAGAAATTGGTGGATTATTCCGACAGCAAAATTTTATTTTTTGTAAAAAGAGGTTTAATTGGAGTTCCATACCTCCCACATTTATATAACTTTACTAATTAACATACAGAGCTGAGTGAATGAGAATTTCTTGCCTATCTCTTTAATAACTAACCATAAGTAAAACCATTAATAATTGAAAACAAAATTGTATTGAACCAAACATTATTCAAAAAATTATGACAGCCTTAAATAAAGAAGTCTGTTGATAGTGTTCTATTATTAAAAGGGAGTGTTTCAAAATCTGCATTAACTCTTATTTCCTTAACTATATCCTGATTATAAGTTTTATTATATGTATATATAATACATGACTAAATAGTTATTGTATTAATTAAATTTAGTATGAAATTGATATTCATTAATTTTATATTATAACTTATTCGGATAAATTATAACGAGGTATACTGTAATTACGTTGCCTCTATGACAATCTTGTACCAAAATTTTATTCCTGTTTTTAAAAAATTATAGATTTATTAAAAAAAATAAAAAAGTTTTAATTAGATTATTATTCTTATTCTTTCAATTATAATATTGAAATTGTAGTTTATAATAAGCCGTTGGTAACTAGAACATTTTTCGTGGAAAGGTCGCGATCCCCTCCTTTTAATATACTTAATGGATTCAAATTAAAAATTGCAAAAATCCTCCCTGAAAATATTTATAACTAACACTTAAATAATTTTTATTATTATATATATTTGTTTTTTGAAACAAAAGAATACATAAAATGGAGGTTCCCCTCCTCCTATTCAACTACAATGTTTTATGTATAATATAGGTGTAAATAATTGATATAGAAAGTTATAACAACACGAATAATTTTTTACTCATATTTTACACAATAATAACATTTTTTGTTTGAGTTTGGGATTATATAGACATCAGGACAATTCCTTCAACTTATTGTATAAACTTTAATTTAACGTCTGTTTAAAGAACGCAATATTTCCGGAACATTTTCAAAAATTGAATAACTTAAATTTTTTTGTAAAAGTTACTATTTGGTATCTTTCCATATAGACAGTCAAAGGGTCAGATTTACAAAAATTTTATATCTAAAAAAAGAAAAATATCTAATGTATTTATATAAACATAATTATTTTGATTTGTTCATTTTTCAAAAAATTATAGCAGTATTAAGAAAAAAAAATTTCAGTTTTTGTGGATAATGTCCTCAACTAGATATGACTTGTGATCTTTTGACGTATTGTTGACAAAAATCGGTCCAGTGAAAGCTGAGAAAAAGTAGAGACAAACGTAAAAACATCATCATTATAAAATTAATACCTTCTCAGCTTTGCATATATTTCTTTAAGATACTTAAAGAAATAATTATTCAGTGGTTTAATATTAAATAACAAGAACAAAAAATATTTTAAACTGTTATAATTTTTATTTAATGTATAATATTTTCATAGACAAAATGATCATGAGTTAAAATTGACCAAAGTATAATTTTAATTGAAAAAATTCGTATATAAATGTACCTCTTGGGAATCCATTTCTTCAGCTTCATCGTTTAATAATGAATTGGCAGTAAAAAGTAAAATAGATCGGATCAACAATTTTAAATTTGAATAAAGTTCCATATTAATTAAAATGTATAAAATGTCTATTGGATATATTCCGTACAACTTTGTATACAGTAAAAATTAATATTTTCAAAATGTATACACTTTTTAAATAGTTCAATTATCTTAAATAACTTATGAAAAAATATATGTTAAGCAGTTTAAAATTTCGTAAATTATAAAAACGAAGTATGTGTTGTTTCATGCACATTTTTACAATAAATCATAATTTTTTTTACTTAATCGATTGACGTCATTTATTTAATAAATAAACACATTTAGTTCCTCGGTACAGTCATAAAATCATTAATAAACTAAAGTAAAATATTTTTATATTTTAATTACACATTTTTCAAAGACTTGTAAAGTAAAATATAATAGAATGAATAAACATTTTGGGGATAAATCAAAATATATATATATATAAAAAACTTAAAGTTTTTGAAAAAGAAAATATTGTTTGGTTCATCAAAGTCTTTAATAATGTATAGTTCCAAATACATTAAGAAAACTATATACAATATCNAAGTCTTTAATAATGTATAGTTCCAAATACATTAAGAAAACGATTTACAATATCGTTTAATTTCTTAAATTATTACCCCATCCATTTTTTGATTGAATAATACATTTTTCATCAAATTGTAAAAATTGAAATTTGTTTCAGTATTATGAACTATAGTAAATATCAATTTAATGGTTTAGAAAAATTATTTATAATTGTAACAAAAGTTAAATAAGAATATATTATTAATAGTTTACTACTAAATGGAAAATGGTCTCAGTAAAATTTTTAAGCATTAAAATATAAAGAAATGATAAGGTGTGGAATAGTGTTTAACGTAGTTTTAATTTTTATCATTACTCAAAAATAAGAACTCTATTATATTGCTTAATCTTTTCATCTACATTAAATAATTGTATTAATTTAAAAATTAATATTAAAAAACTTATTATAGATCAGTCAACAATTAAATCTTTTTCGAGAATAAGAAAAATATTAAAGGTTCCTATTTAACTATTGAAAGTTACCCATAAAATTTACCCTTATGAATAATTTTTTTTAATAATAAACTTAATGTTTAATTAGTTCATAAAAATTAATAAAATTTTTATTTTTATTTTAATAACATCTCTGTGTTCCCGACAGTTTCTTACCAAGTAGACACCCAAAGAAATAATATTTTGAACATATACTGCAACTCATGAACTGTGCGTCTTTTGCTTCACTAAATTTGACGTCAAACAGAGAGGAGTGGCTTCAACGAAAGGCATTACTTTTATTTAGAGTTGTTAAAATACGGTATTTTATTTTTTTGTTGTATAATATCGTATAATACACGTATAATACTGTATAATACCGTATAAATCCTTGTGGCACCTTAAAATTTGGGAAAAAATAAACTTTAGAGTGATTATTTTTCATAAAACGCAATAAATAAATCAGTACTTACTGAAAAAGCCTTTAGCAAAATTGATAAAAACAAAATGTTCAGGGAGTAATTAGTTAAAGTATTGAACTAAGATATTTCTCTATCCAGAATTCCTGTCTAGAGGATGATTTAGTATCAACTAAGTACCAACTATAGTCAATTTGCAACCAGAAACCACCCATGATGTTAAAGGTCTGAGAGTCTGCTTTTTTAAACAAGTATAAATACACAATTGGAATTTTACCACATTAAAAACTTAAAATGTTTAATAACAAAATAGATAAAATAATAAAACTCACTTTTTCTTAACAAAAAAAAATCCTATCCTTTAAATAAACTATTAAAAAATTAAAATATGGCATCTTACTATTAATCTTAAAATTGATAATTGTATTAACAGTTATTACCTTAAAAAAAATAACTTAAGTACCTTATCGATTATAAATTTTAGTATCACAGAGTACTAAGAATTAATTTTTATAAAGTATGAAATATTTTGTTACCACTTTTTCTCAGCTCTTACCGAATCGATTTCTTTCAACGATACGTCAAAAGATCACAAATCGTATCTAGTCGAAGACATTACCCTTCAAAATTGAAAAAATTTCCCTCGTTCCACGTAAATGGGGGAAACCTCCAAAAAAATTACAAATTTAAAAATCGCTAATTTTCGAAATTTTTTCAATTTTTTTTACTAAAAACTGCCGTAACTTTTTTAAAAATGAACATATCAATATAATTTTTTTTTATATAGATGCTTGATGTCTTTACCTATCATTTGGTATATTTTTTTTGTAAATTTGACCTTTTATCTGCCCACAGGGGGGGATTTAAAATGACAACTTTTTCACAAAAAATTAACTTTTTCAACTTAACTTTTGAAAATGTTCCGGAAGGTCTGACACTTTTATATATATCTTAAATTAAAGCTAATGTAATATACTTTAATTTGAAAAAAAAAAATTTGACCTCTGGACTTGTCTTCACGGCGAAAATGGCTACCGAATGCTATTTTCGTGTGAAAATTCTCGATTTTATTATTTATATTATATTTAACTTTATAATGCTATAACTTATTGAAAAGTTTATGGATCCACACAATTTTTTTATGAGAAATAATATTTTTTAATAAACCTTTTTTCATTCGACATACTTTATCTTAATCGAGATATTAATAAGGAACCAGCAGATCAAGTAGCTTTTGGAATAAAACACCAATTTTTTTAAAATTAAACACTATCTAAAGATTTGCATCGAAGCGTTTATTTTTGATAGTGATTTTAAGCACTGTCAGATATCATTATACTTGATCCAACTATACCACGTCACCACTGTGCCGCGACCCCCCTGTGCTGGGTTTTTTGTTTGTTATGATAACCATGTTTCCCTGGTGGATCTGACAACTAATTATGTTTTAAAAATATATGTATTAATCTACAATAATATTCACGATTATAGATACATTTAAATCTAATAATGCAATCCATCTATATCATTAATTACAATTGCGTATATCAATTAAAATCAAATCCAAAAGAATATAAATGTTGATAAAGCATTTTTTCTTTTTTTGATACAGCCGGTATAAAATAATTTTATACGCGTGTATTATACCTTGTATCATACTGTATAATACACATGTATAATACCGACTCACATCTCTACTTTTAATAGATGATGATGATATTTTTATGAAAAAAAAACACAAGGGGTCGTGGTACAATGGGTACGTGGTATATTGGGACAATTATAGATAATATCTGACAGTGATTAAAATTATTATCATAAGAAACTTCAAAGTTTAAAGTTTAAACTTATTAAATTTTTTCATAAGCAACATAAACTCCTATTTCTTTAATTATATCCTAATTAATAGTTCTTTTAAAATAATGCGTTTAAATTTTCGATATAAAATGTGATTTTTAATCTATTTTTTTGTTACATTAAGTTATTTTTTACAAAATTTGAAAAAAAAGTCAAATTATTTTTCTGCTCGACTTGCAAGTTTGAATTGACAACAGTAAATAGAACATTTTATGTGGTTAAAAAATTGCATTATTTAGATTGATATGTAGACAGAAATTTATATAATTATTATTAACAGTAAATTTATGAAAAAACTCAATATTTTGTTAAAATTACCTTTGTTTACTTTGATTTTTTATCGTGATTTATAATTTTATAGTAATCGTAGTAATATTTATGTAATTCTTGGTGCAATTCGACATTTGAAATATTCAGAACTTAATTAATACTTAAATTATTTAAAAATAACCAAAAAAATTTAGGTTAGAATAAAATTTAACAACACATCAGCAAACGAAATCGCAGAAGAAACTAGAAATAGGCCATAACCTGACCAATATTTAGGACTTTTTCCGAATAATAATAGTAAAACTTAACTTGTTGGAATTTTACAACAATAATATAACAAAATTGCTAAACGTAAATTATGATAATGTAAGAATTTTACATGAGCTAATTAATAATAAAATAAGGAAAAAAATCCTAAACAATAAATGACAGCATCAAGAATTATTTACTGATTTAAAACACCATAGATTAACAATTGTATTTAAAATCTGTAAGTCTCTAATTTGATCACTGTAAATGATTATTACGAACACTCATAAGTGATCTTGTAGAAATATCAATATCATAAAATAGTGATTTTAACGAAATGTTGTGATTTATTTATAAATTTACTCTTAATAATATTTATACAATATCCTGACCACATTTCATTCTAATTAATAACATTTTTTTAATTCTCATAAAATTTTCTATTTAAAGTTATCAATTTTAAACTTGAAAGTAGAGCTGAAAGTAAAAGTCACACTTATTTCTTTCAATGATACATCAAAAAATCACAAATCGTATTTAGTCGAAGACATTACACTCAAAAATTAAAACAATTTCCCTCGTTCCCCGTAAATAGAGGTAATTTCCAAAGAATTACATATTTAAAAATTGCTAATTTTCAAAAATTTTTCAATTTTTATTTACTTAAAATTGCCATAACTTTTTTATGAATGACCAAATCAATATATATATTTTTTGTAGATACATAAGGTATTTACCTATCATTAAGTATATTTTTTTATAAATATGACCCTATAACTGCCCACAAGGAGAATTAAAAATGACAACTTTTTTACAAAAATGAACTTTTGAAAGTGTTTTGAAAATACTGACATTTTTATATATATTTTAAATTAAAGCTAATGTACTTTCTTTTGGAAAAAAAAAATTTTGAACAATATTTTATCTTCATGATAAATTTTTTATTTTATTTTGTTTTAAAATACCATACAAAAGTTTTTGAGTTAGAAAAAAATGTTTAATCATTAGATTTTTATCTCATTCAGATTCGATAACTTTAATGAATATCAAAGACCCTATCACTATTGTCTCCCTTCATATGAAGAAATCTCTTACTCAAATTAAAGTTTTTTTACTATGTGATTTTTTTTTTTATGACTCTCATTTATTTTTTCAGCTCTCACTTGACCAACCTTTTTTAATGATATATCAAATGATGACAACTATTATCTAATAATAGTATTATAGTAAATTATAATAGTATAATAATATTATCTATTAATTTTATTTTTCAATTTGTTTTCAATTAATAATACCTATACATAAGGTAAAACAATATAGTCATTTTAGTAGGGGAGATAATGTACTCCCATTTAAAACCCCTCCGTTTTAATAATATAATAATTAAATAATTTCTAAAAAATAAGATTTAAATTTAAATTTTAAATATTTTCAAAGATGACTTTTTGCTTTAATGTCCATCTATTGAGTATAATAAAGGAATGGGTTGCCCTTTCTAAAAAAAATTTAGATACTCGTGGCTTATGATAAACTATAATTATAATTTCATGACTGAAATTATAATTAATTTAGGAAGGTCAGAATAATTGAACTTTCTTTTCTTTTTTACAATTTATTTGTATTAACTAGTTAATGAATTAATATTGTAGCTGCAATACTAAATAGTTAAATATTTATTTCAAACTAAATAAAATTGGTAGACTAAAGATGGTAGATAGATTAACTAATGAAGAATTTTCGCATATTGAAAGTCAATTATCTGGAAGAAATTGCAAGTTATAGGAAAGAATGAGGAAAACTAAAAAAGTGGTAAACGATTGAACAGTAATGACAAACAAAGAAACCAATTTTAGTTTTATTACATTTTTTGATTTATTAAAATATATACTTTTATTAATATACTAGGCTATAATTAAAAATGAATTTGAACATTGTTTGTGCAAATGGAAACTTTTTTTGTGTAGTTGAAAAAAAATGTCATGTCTCCAAAATAACTAAATGTATAAAGTAAAGCAAGCTACAAAAATATTCATTGAAAATATTAGTATTTTAATTTACTTTATTCTATGATATTATCATAATAGTGTGGTCAAATTCTGAACACAAGATAAAAATGATGTAATTATTTATAGGNTATCATAATAGTGTGGTCAAATTCTGAACACAAGATAAAAATGATGTAATTATTTATAGGTGGATAATTTAATGACGAAGCCAAACTATGTTTTTAGAGGAGTATGAGATAGATTAATAAATGTATTAACACTTAATGATTATTTTTTTTTGCTTAATATCCATTAAAAAGTATAATTTTTAGTAAATATATCAGTTTTTTATGAATTTTGTCGGGGAAGGGGGATACAAGCCCATTATCTCCCGAAGTTACGCCACTTAGGTAAATAATTCTTAAAATTTTTAATTCTGTTGACCGCCTTATAATATGGGATGTTAAATCTTGTTTTAGTTTTAATTTTGTCCTGAAGTTTTATAGTTTTTAATACACAAAATTGAATAATAATTTAACGTATAGCTATTTTTGTTAATTTTGATCAATTGTTTTAGTTTTTTTCTTGCTTAATTAAAAATGTATTTTGTTAGTTAGTTTATAAAGTTACAATAGTAATAAGGTAAAGAATTTTGTCATGACTTTTTAAAAATATTGAGTTTAATATATATGTATATATTAAATATGTGTATGTGTTAATAAATATATTTTTTATGTATTTTCAATCATAAGGGGATATGAATGTTAAAATATAATATACAAAGTAATCCCTAATAGCACCTCTAATTTTAATTTGATGACTGGTAGGAAAAAACAATTACCAGCAATTTTATTCTTACGATGTTTTATAGGATTCGTATTTTACAGCTTTACAAATNACAAACTTCAAAACGCTACAGAATATTTACTACTGAATATTAATAAGATATTTTTTTACTAAAATTTTTCTTAAATTCTACTCTACAAAATAGCTATCTTAGATTTTTTTTTTACATTTTATTTAAAATTTAAAAATAATTAATATTTTTAATAAAATGTAAAAAAATTAATTATTGAGATATAGCTATAGACCTAACGT